TGCAGTTTTTGGCCAGGGCTGGGTTCAAACCCACCACCTCTAGGATATGGAGCTGGAGCCCTACTCCTTTGAGCCACAGGTGCCACCCAGGAATAGCACTTCTAAAACCTTTCTCACATTCTTGACATGGCTAACAGGGACCCAAGGCCTAGCCTTCAGTCTATCTTCATTTTGGACATGGCTTCTTCTGTAAGCTTAGCGTTTCTATCTTTTGATTTAAAGTGAGAGGCGGGTAACTCTTAGAGGTTATTATAGGGTTATTCATCGGCCCAATTTCAATACAGCACAGTGGCGTTCCACACATTAGGAAAGCCCCAGGGAAAGAAACAGAGAAATGGCCAATCAGTAGAGCACTCAAAACACACATGAAATTTATCAATGAGGCTTGCCATCTTGTATGGATAATTTGTGGTGCCCCCAAATAATTATAATAGTAATATCAGAGATCACTGCTCACAGATCACCATAATAAATATAATAATGATAAAAAGTTTGAAATGTTGCTAAAATTACCAAAATGTAACACACAGATATGAAGTGAGCTCACATTATTAAAAGAAACAATCGCACTGGTAGACTTGATCTGTGCAAGGTTGTCATTGACCTTCAATTCAAAAGAAATACAATAAAGTACAAAAACCGAAGTATTCTGTACATGAAAAAGTCAGACTTTTGTGACTCTTTGATGTTAAGAATTCTTAGTTTTCAGTATCTCCAGGTTATATTCATAAGAAACATTTCTGTTGCTGCTTTGAGACTAATTTTCACACCGCTTCCAGTTACCCATGCCTGCACACTCATGCGTGTTGTATAGACTGACTCTGTGTTTGGACAAAGCTGTGTGTTTCCTCAGTGAGGACAACATTTTGTGACATGATCAGCTAAATTTTATTTAAAGTGGTCCCTGGTATAATAATTCAAAATAAGTGGGGGATTATTTATAAAGAATATAAAGAATAGGTTCAAGTGTGAGCATTCCATTGAAAAGTGAGGTGAATTTTTGGTGATCCAAATGAACACAGTGTGGTAGGCAGAACAATAATTTTCCAGGGATCTATATTTGTTTTAGTTAGAATGTAATATTGAAGCAAAAATGTCTGATTTTCCATGGAAAGGCCCCCGACTTCCTGCCGCTTGCATTTCTTTGTTTTGATTTTGTGATAGTTATCATTCATTCTTCTTTTATTTTCTTTTTTCAAATGCCTCTCTTTCTACTAATTCTGCTTTCTCTTCAGATTACTTTTACTTCCTTTCTTCCTTCTACTCACCTATCCAGTTTTTTTTTTTAAGTAAATGGTTTTCAGAAAAAATGTATATAAGTAGCTAACAGGGAGTAGTGATACAATCAGGTTAGAGATCTTAGATGCTATTTGTCTTAGAAATGACAGAAAAAGTTACATCCTAGTATACAGAGGTGAATATAAAAAATCTGGCAGCATTTTTTTAAAAATCATATTTCAATGAGATTTTCTTACTTTTAGAGAAGGCATATGCCACACTTAATAACATAAGCTTATCAACTTTGTATATATTGTATATAGTATGTCTAGAGCAAATTTTATTCGGTGCTGGGGATATAGATTGAGATTGGCCTTGTGGTCCCTCGGCTTTCAGACCTTCACCTTATAAGGACCAGGCATGTATTTAACAGCACTTACCGCTTGTTCACTAACTTTGTTTAGCAAAGGCAGAAATTCATCTGGCTAATTCAACAAGAAGTTTTCCTTGACCAGATGAAGATGACAGGAGCTTCCTTAAATGACTTTGCTGAAATACAAATTTCTAAGTTATATGCTTATTTCCATGGCCTCTCCATCCAGTGAACTTAGACTCTCTCTATTAGATTTATTATTCCACTTACTGTCTATTCTTCCAAAATGGAACTCTCTGAGAAATATCTCTTTGGATAGAAAATGTAAGATTTGTAGTACGCATTTTCTCTAGCATGTAGTACAACCTCACAAGCATTAAGGTACACAGTCTATTTTTCTCAGTGATAGTAAGGAGATATAAAAGCTCAAAACATAGAAGGTACTAACATTGCTGTTATTATGCTATAAATTCTTAAGTAGCTAATGTATTCTCTGTCTCTGAGTGTGTTTCTAGTGTCAAAGCCCTCGTTAATAGAAATTAGATCAGGTTACGATTTTGTAGGGGATATATTCATTTTGCATATTTCTCAGCAGACAGCACACATCTATATTATCTTTTATCTCCATGTGTATGAATAAACCCCAGAGCTATTTAGGTCATTGTATTTTGCTGTGTAGTTGTTTTGTGTTGTTATGTATCTCACTGTAATAACAATGAATTATGTTTGGCAAAGTAGCCATCTTTTATTAAAGGTGCATTTTAATTTGATGTTAGAAACAGCCAGCTTTAAAACTGTAATTGGCCTTAATACCTTTTTAGATTCCTTTTGAAGATATGCTTACCACAAAAATGTAATCTTTGGGAATTTGACAAACTAGCTGATAATAATATACATCATATTTATTTTGCAGGAAAAAGCAAATGTTTCATTATCTTGTTGTTATTTACTACATCAAGAAGGGAATATAATTTCTGCTAGCTGTGTGCGTGTTAGGTCAGATATCATTTAATAAAATGAATCAAGTGGGAAAGCTTTCATTTCTTTGTGATGACACATCAAATACACCCTTATCTCTAAACGTTAAGGATGATCGAGTGAAGCTTCCTAGTTTGTTTTTCCAAGTATCTTTAGAATTAATAGAAACATCTAAATTATGATATGTTTATTTTTCAGGAGCCAATGAGAACGAAATTGTCTTAATGAATGCTTTGACTGTTAATTTACATCTTCTACTGGTGAGTTTAGTTTCCCACCAATGTTTAGAATACACTCATTTACAGAATCTGATGTTTTCTATCTTTAATTCATGAGCATCTGGTCGTTTACTTATTTAAAAATAAATTGTGAAGTTATTTTCATTTTTACCAACAAATGCTGGACCATCATGTAATGGCTTCTTCCTAATCATAGAAGAGTTGACTCTTGCAAAGAGCTTTAGAATAATGAACAGTTCTTGTCTCAGAAAATAAGGGTAGAGTCACTGTGGATGAAAAAGGAAACTGTTTGCAAGTATATAAAACAATGAATGATGCACAAATGCTGGGAAAGCATTGCAGTTTGGGGAAAGACAATTCTCAATATGTTACACTTTAGCAGAATGGGATTATGGATCCACATGCTTTTGTGGATTAATTTTGGGGGAATAGGTTAAAAAAGACTTGGGGAAAAAAGCTTAAATGGAAAAAACGGATCTAATATCTTAACTGAATTATTATGTTTAAAATACCTTTTACATTTCAAATGCTCAGTAAGTAGTTTTACATTAAAATATCAGATACATTCCTTATTTGGAATATGATAGCTTAACAATTATTAGATGCTTTAAAAAGTCTTGATTTCACTTTGTAACTATGTTTTGGTAACAGCTGCATGTGCAGACATCCCTGGATTTGACCCCAGCTAAATTTTGCTTAATGCTTACTTGACACCGGACAAGTATTGGCATCTCTATGTCTTAATGTTCTCTTTGGTAAAAATGAGGCCAGTCATATGTACCTCCAAAATCTTACAAGAATTAAATGTGATAATATGTGAAAGTTGCTTTAGCTCTGGCCAGCTATCACCTTCCCTGTTATGTTCTCAATCTCATTCCCCAAGAACTGTGGGGAGATGAAAGAGCCCCACTGAACACATGAGCTACTTCTTACTGGTGCCTCTAGGATTGGGTATGTTTTATGTCAGAGCTAAGGTACCTTTACTTGGACCCTAAGTAAAATACCACAAGGTAATAAAACAATGGGAATGTTGTGTAGTGGAAACCAAATTGACGAGGTAGGAGAAGTCAATATCAAGTACGAACGTGGTATTTGGATGTCATACTAAAAATTACCATGAAATCCCTTGGCTTGATACATTTTCAATTAATATTTCAGTAAAGTTTGAGAATTTGTTTATCTGATTCCCCTTTTCCCATGTGTTGGCTTTCTCATTGATAAACATAATGAGCCAGTATCTTCTTTCTGTTTATAAATCACTGGAAACAAGGCCAATTGAAAAGGTACCCCAACAAATATTTTGATTGTTTGACTATTTAATGTCTTTAAAATGCTGGAGATTATAACATGAATGGGTCGTGTAAATGAACAAATTTGTAAATTGTGCATTAACGCTTTTTTAATAAATCTATTTTATTGTAGTTATCATTTTTTAAGCCTACCCCAAAACGGCATAAAATTCTTCTGGAAGCCAAAGCCTTCCCTTCTGATCATGTAAGGATTTCTTCAGATTATATTTATGTTCTTTCTACTCTTCCTAGAGGAACGTATCATTTTCCTGACTTGAATGTTTATTCACTAGTCTTTTCTAAGTAACCTTACAATAAAAAGATCTGTCAAACGCTTTTGATTTAGGCACTTTTTTATAGATTGTAACTTTATTCCTATTGTTCAAGTAAAACATGTGTTAAAAGAAGAAAAGATTGAATAGGACCATTGATTTATTAGTCTTTTAAAGGCATTGAGGAAACCACTGGCCTAAATCAAGTGCAGTTATAAATGTTTTATTAATTCTTGTTGCTGTTTCATTTTATGAAACATTTTATGTTTTCATTTTATGAATTGTATTTATCAATACAATTCCTTCTTAACTCTTTAGCTACATAGAATAAGAATATAAGTGATTACTTGTCCCTTTGTTTTCGTGGCATACGAGTATAATTAATTATTAGACATTAAAAGTATTTCCTGTGATGCACTGAAAGTAATCATGCTACCTTATCAGCAATTTAGTTAATAAGGAATTTGATTGTTCTACACACACAGATACAATGTACATTGTGTACCAGCTTGAAGTCAGTAACGAGTTAAAAAATAATAGAAATAATAAAAATAAAAAAAGCGCACTGTATACACATATTTCAGTTTCAGCATTAGAAAACCTTTGATTTCTTTCTGTGTGTTATTACTAATCTTACTATTGCCTTACTAGAAAAAACCAAAATCCTAATATCTTTAAAAGATTCCAGGTCTCTGTAATTGTTCACTCCCATAAATCTTGCACTCTAAGGGGGTAAATTTATTCTTCCCAAGTGAACGTATTTCTCTATCCTATGTTGAATCACAGCAAACCTATGCTACTCACTTGGTTTATTTTGTAAATTCTGGTTTTCACTTAGGTGATTTAATATCTTTTTTTTTTAATCTCTTTTAACTCCTTAAGTCTAGGTGACGCTATATTTTCATTCTTCTCTAATATGTAATATTTCAAATTCAGATTACTACAGGCAAATTATATTAAGCTGTTCTTCTCTGATGTATTTTGTTTAAGACTTTTAACCTGGACCTTGGATTTAATATAATGTTTTAATTGTTATTTTATGATGTGTTTTTAGAGTTTTTTAATGTACTTCTCTGCTTTCAGCTTGATTTAATAATTAGATTATGTTTCCTTCCCAGTATGCTATTGAATCACAGCTACAACTTCACGGACTTAATGTTGAGGGAAGTATGCGGACCATAAAGCCAAGAGAGGTACATGAGAAAGAAATAGATGTTCATCATGCTTCTATTTAGTATTGATTTTTTATTTGTTTTTCTCCAGTTTATTATCTTCATTACTTTAATAGAATTTTCAAGACAGAAAAAAAAACCCTATACTTAAGTTACTATTAGATTGCTTGGCTGAAATAGAGAAGAATACGGATATATATTTATTTTAATTTTTCAAGGGCAAGCCACATGGCAAGCAAACGATTTCCTACTAATACCACTGGAGTCTTTCTTATCCTTTAATGCAATGGGAGAGGTGGAAAATTGGTGTATCATTTTTAATTTCAAATGTCATTGCCCAAAAATGCCAATAAAAGAGTGCCATTAAAATCATGTTAAAGACCGGTAACACTCGTTGAAATTGAAGGATGACTATCTTTCATGTTCCTACTTTTTTTTTTTTTTTTTTTTGAGACAGAGCCTCAGGCTATCCCCCTGGGTAGAGTGCCATGGCATCACAGCTCACAGCAACCTCCAACTCCTGGGCTCAAGCGAGTCTCCTGCCTCAGCCTCCCAAGTAGCTGGGACCACAGGCGCCCGCCACAACGCCTGGCCATTTTTTGGTTGCAGCCATCATTGTTGTTTGGCGGGCCCGGGCTGGGGATTTGAACCCGCCACCTTAGGTGTATGTGGCTGGCGCCTTAGCCACTTGAGCCACAGGCACCAAGCCTCATGTTCCTACTTAATCTAAGTATCAAGTATTTCCTTCGAGTTTAGATGAGAGTAGAAAAAGTGATGTGGTATAGTGGAAAAAGCTTATGCTTTACAACTTGGTTAATAGACTCCAGTAAAATCCTAGAACCAACAACTTACTGGATATGTAACTAGGAAAAAATTTTTTTCATCTCTTGTGTAACCCTTGTATTTAAAGAGGTAACATAGGCTACATCTAATTGGGCTGGACCATATGTTCATGTTCTAAAATAATGTGTACTTTACATTAATAGAGATATAAGGTTAAGCTCTACAGACTTTGACATATAAACCCTGCAGCTTGTATAATTTGTCTACAAGAGAATTATACAGAATAAATTTTTGGTTTCACATATGATGCTCCCAGGCTGCTAAGCTAATGTCTAAACAATTACTTCTTTCAACTCAGAATTACTTTGAAGACATTAAAGACCTATTCTATTCAATTCCATTTGCCAACATTCAATAAATTAATGAGATTAAAAAGTTCTCAAGCCTGTGAGAGGATATAAATTGTTATTTTTTAGCATAAATGAATGTAGGCACTAATTATTACAAGTTTTTAATGTTGCCAGAGACCAGGGTTGTGGGGTCTCATGAGTTAATCACATCTTGAGAACACGCTTGAGCCTTATGTGCAAGTCAGCATGAGATAGGGCAATATCCTATCACTAAGAAATGTATTTATTATTTGCTTAATACTAATAATGTAAACATAGAAAGTAAGCATCAGTATACATAGCCCTTTTTCTTTTTAAATTATGGTGGGCAAACCTTACTGAATTTATTAGTTTTAGATTGACAGGTCACTAATTTTTCTTAGAATTTTTCTTATAGTTAATGAAATTCTTCTCTTTACATACATAAATTACATCTCACTTAATAATTCAGAATTTAATATCAAGACTTTTTATAGATGCCTGTTTTGTAAACAAGTTCCACATTTCTTCTATTACAAAGTATATTACATACACACACACCCCCAAACGTGAAGCAGCATAATTGCCAAATTGCAAGAATTATAAAAAGTTAAAAATAAACTGAAAAATAATATCCTAATGTACTTCCTCAAATATGAATGAGATTAATGATGCATTGAGCTCCATCATGTCAGAGTTACCACTGGAGAAATTTTACAAAAAATTATAAGGAGAACAGAATCTGTATTTAACTGATTTCTGATCTCTTGAACTGATTTCTTTCAGCTCAAATTGTTTCCCAACCCAAATCTAAATTCACTCACTATTTTTGTGAGTAGTTAATCATTAGTTGTAGTGGGGAGATGTAGGGAATAAAAATCTCAAAAATAATAATGAGTTTTATTGATTTTATTTTTCATGTTTGAGTCTTGACCTTTAGTTTAAAGAGATTTTACTTGAAAGCTAATAAAAGATATTACTTAGGTAATACTCAGATCAAAGATGCGTACGTGGGTTGTTTTTTTTCTTGAGAAAAATAACAACATTGGATTGATAAAAATGCATTACTAATTTCTCTCTACTAATTTCTCTCAACTATTTCTCTCACTACATAATATTTCATGGACTTCTTGAACTTTGTGGTGTTTTATTGGTTGGGAATGGGAGGAAATTATTTACTGAAGGATAGATCAAGTAATTAGGCTTTTATAAAGTCTTATACATTAAAAATCCCTTTTGCTATCTTATTATCATTTTTAATAATAAGAAGAAGCACACTCAAAATATGCTCTTTTGCCATATTTTTGAAAAGACTTAATGTGAAAAAAAAATTTTGATCTTTCTCATAATGGAAAAGAGTTCATGGTGAAATTTGGATTGGTGAATGTGAAGTGGCAAATTTATTATTGCCAATATGATGTCACTTGTGCCTGACTTCATTTAGGGGGAAGAAACCTTAAGAACAGAGGATATCCTTGAAGTAATTGAGAAGGAAGGAGACTCGGTTGCAGTGATCTTGTTCAGTGGGCTACAGTTTTACACTGGACAGCTCTTTAATATACCTGCCATCACCAAAGCTGGACAAGCAAAGGTACGCACGTCCTTTCCTCCTTCCCACCATACCCTAACCACCACTCTGCCAAAGAGGGTTCTACCTGCACTTCCAGTGATGTACCTTTGTCTGTTTGTGTAAAGTCAAGAGTTAAGAAAAGAGGCTGGGTACAGTAGTGCATCCCTGCAATCCTAGCACTCTGGTGGCCTGGGAGTAAAGATGACTTGAGCTAAGGAGTTTGAGGCTAGCCTGAGTAAGAGGAAGACCCTATCTGTACTAAAAATAGAAAAATTAATTAGGTGTTATGGCATGTGCCTGTAGTCCCAGCTACTTCAGAGGCCTAAAGCAGAAGGATCGCTTAAACCCAGGATTCTGAGGTTGCTGTGAGCGAGGTTGGCATCATGGCACTCTAAGCAAAGGCAACAGCATGAGATTCTATCTCAAAAAAAAAAGTTAATAAAGAATACACCTTAACATTTTTAAAAATTGATATTCTTTTTTGCTTTCTGCATGTCTATTTAAACCAGTTTTTGCCACTTTTGTGGTCTCACCTCCTTACTAGCAGCTGCTTTCTCAATGTTTGCCTTTAGTCATCAGAACAGGCAAGCTTCCTGCAGGTGATGTCATCGTCTCTTCAACTGCTCAGTCAACAGGAAGCAAACAAAATACTTAGGATAGGAACTGCACGCTAGAACTGTCACAAACTCTGCTTGGTATTGTGCCATACTATCACTCATTCTAAATGGAAATCAGTTCACACTTAACCCTAGGTATCTAAAGATGGAATAATTTAGATTTAAATTTTATCAGTCGATCAAGTTTTAAGCAAGTTACTTTAAGACCATTTTATTTCTAAGAATCTTGGGAAGTTTTTATAGTGTCTATAATAGATTTTTTTTAACTACACACTACTAAATTGCCCTTAAATTATTTACCAGTTTGAAATTGTGTCTCTGTATATAACTGTTTGTAAAAAAGGTTTTTAGTTTTTATTTTCCTGAAAAATATCTCTGGGGGTGGGGGAGGGACATTCAACAGTTAACATTTATTATAAAATCCTTAAATAATAGTTCTATTTTACTCAGCAATCAAGTCATGTATTTAAAAAGGTGACAACTGAATTTTATTCTGAACATTAATAAGTTATGGGATTAATATACGTGTGAGGTCTAGTTAATATATTCAGTTATTGAAGCTAATGAATGGAACTAATGAAAAGAAATTTAGCACTGTTATCAGCAGTCTCTGGGAATTTCCAACCATGACTTCCAACTGGTTTGATGGATAACTGTGAGAGTGGTGCATTACAAAAGTTATAAAGATAATGTCTTCTTAATTTAGATATTAAATGTTAAGCACCAAAATAAAGAGAGGCTGATAAAAAAAAATCATATTTTAAAATGTTATGCAAGGAATCACCAGTCCCTCTTCCCCTCATATCCAGACATGTCTCATTAGCCTTCATAGTCACAAGACAGGAAGACAGAGACTAATGATCAGGGGGTTTGGAATCGGGAATCTGAAGTTCAAGTCATTTAATTGTTATGTAATCTTGGTCAAGGTACTTGACTTTTCTGCATCTCTATTTTCAAAGTGCTAATTTGTAGTAATAGTACCCACCTCATAAATTCAGTATGAGAATGAAGAGTATAAAACATATAATGGATCAGCACGCGTTCTGCAGTTAAATCGTGGTTCCTTCCTGTTCTATTGCCCTCAGTGAATATGAAGTTATGAAGTGGCTCAGTTATATGCTTTCTTTTATTTCAAATTGAAAAGCAAAACAAATGTATTTATTTAGGTTTGATATGTAATTCTCATACTTAAATACTCTGGTTGCTAAAAAAACATGTTTTAAGTGCTTTGTGAGATTTCTTGCACTTAAAAAATACAAGTACCTACCAAGTCATGTTCTCACAGCACTTTCAGTCAAATAAATGAGAGTAGGAAAAAAATAAAATAAATGAAAGGAGGAATGCATATATTCATTCCTAAATGATAATACCAATTTTCTAAAAGGGTTGCATCAATTTGCTTTGTACTCTTACCGGCATATATGAGCCTTCCTGTTGCCTTCCATCTTTAGCAATAGTTACTATTGTTGGTCTTTGTAATTTTAGCTATTCTGATTATTTCACAGGGTAATATATGGGATTTTTAGTTTGCAATTTCCTAATTATTGATAAGGTTCAGAATCTTTCAAATACTTACTAGCTTTCTAGTTATTATCTAGGATATTCTTTATGAAATGCTTGTTCCAGTATCTTGCCCATATTTCTATTTGGTTATCTATCTTTTCCTGATTTGGTTGTAAATAGTATATATAGAAACCGATTTTGAAGAAAAGTGAAAATGGTAGATTTCAAGTGGTCATCAAAGAAAAAAATGAACTAATTAAAAGAAATAACAGTTGATAGCATGACTTTGATTCACATAATGAATTAAAGATACTGAAGCTTTTAACTGATGAGAAAGCCAGAGATTTAACAAGAGGCAGAGGCCAAGGAAAACTAAAAATAAGGTCAGATTAGAAAACTGTATCACAAAGCAGGCCAACAAGTCACAAGAGTCTTCAGGTTAAAGGTAGTTCTCATTATTGGTCTTCGAAGGTATATACTTTGTATTGTTCGCCATCCCATCTTTTTGTAGCTCTGTCTTGCTTCCATATTTCACTATCATTACGTGTTTTTAAGACTTTCTTCTTTTCTACACCCACTGAATATAGATATTCCCCATTGTTCTTTACATTACCATCTCTATTGATGTTTAACAACTGCTTCCACTCAGCTATCACTGCCAAGCACAACTCCTACAGTAGAGAATAGCCTATATACAGAGGATGCCAAGAAATGCATAAACATTTTAAGAAAGGAAAAAAAAGCTACGTTGAAATTATAATACTCCAGTCATATTTGACTTCTGCAACTACAAGTGATACAATATACAAGATTGCAAATGTTATTGGTGTATATTGAGTATTATAATTTTAATACAGTTTTTTCCTTTTCTAAAATGTGTATACATTTTTTTGGCACCCTCTGTATATGGATGCCCTATATGCTTCTCGAGATGCTCCAAATATAAATTCATCTTCCCCCACAAAATGGCTCTACTGTTTTATGTCATCATCCTCTGGACAATTATATTCAAGTTACTTATTCTTCAGCTTTTAAACTACTCACTTAATTCCATCTTCCCAGGTTTTATCTTCCTTTAATATTCCTAAATCAAAGATGAAAATTTTCAGCTATAAGAAATAGAATCCCAGTTAAAATCAGCTGAAAAATAAGGATTTATTTTTCTCACCATAGAGAACTTGAGGCAGGAGACTGCTGAGATGTTCTCAGAGCTCAGTTATGTCTGAGTGACATCTCCAGAATTTTCTTAAAAATTTGTTCAGACATCTCACATCTCGGTCACAAGATAGTCGTCCCAAATCCAAATATCTCATTTCTATTTAGGGTAGAGGGAAGGAAGAAAGGAAAAGCAGCAGGGCAGCTTCATCTGTCCCTTTCATCCTAAGTGTTATTTTCCCAGAAAAACCTAGCAGATTCCTGCTGATGACTCACGGCTTTCTGAAGTGGCAGCTAAGAAAGAGCATGACTAAGAAAATATTTCACATTTATTGCCCTACAGTAGAAAAAGACTAAAAGAAGGGGTTAGGAATG